CAAAATTATATGCAGAATCACCTTCATGAGAAAACACCATCGATAACTGTGCCTTTTATCTTCCAACATCCAAGTGCTGTGACACACATTGCCTGCCTTGTGGTACCACCTCTAACACCAGTTCATTTTTTTCTAGGGTCTATTTCTTATTTCAAGATAACTCTTGCTGACGGGAATTAAAGAATTAGTAGATCTGTTCCGTCCAAAATGAAATGGGATAGGATTATGAACCGTAGATCATAGAACTTAAATATACCACTAATAGTAATTCTCACCTTTCAAAAGTAGAAAGTTGATGGTTTAAGTCACCATAAGCACTAGGATCATATCCGTGTGTGTTGTATGTTTAATATTAACAAATGAAACACTCCGTATTTTTTTTTTTTTTTTTTTTTTTTTTTTTGCGCAACATGTATATGTATACTAAAACTCAAACGGATCTACAGTGGGATTAGTGGGAGTATCCGCCCCCATTGAAATTTTTTGTTTTTGTATTATATACCTTATATTTTTATTTTTTTGTATTATATACCAATAAAATTTTAACATTGCCCCCGCTGAAGGAAGGAAAAAAAAAATAATAAATAAATAAATAAACATACCATATAAGTTTGCCCCTCACATAATTTTCTAAGTCCGTCACTATTAAAACTTTGCTTGCTATACTTCTTGCTAGGTTATCTTAGTTATTAAAATCTATTGGATCACAAATGTATTATTTTATACACGAAGAGTATAGTGATATTATCCTACCATTCTCTCTTGTGGAGAGGGAATCCGATGCTTTACACCAAAGCATTGTTGTTTTGGTGCACAATTTGGAACCTGATGTAGGTTATGCGGAGCTCCAACACGAGGCCTGCGTTGAGCTCCTACACCAAAACAACACCGTTTTGCACATGACAATTACAAATCCCATCCGCACAAGAGGATGATACTACGCTATCTTTTCAAACCCTCTTTTGCATCAGTTTGCCTTCTCCAAAACATAACATTGGCGTTGCTAAAGCTCACTACATATATACTTGTTGAGCAGATTGAATAAAATATAGACTTAAAAAAAAAAAAAAAAAAAAAAGTCTATAATTGACGAGATTGCAACACCAAGAAATATAGAGGGGGTGGGGTGTGAAGTAGTGGACTTCACACACTCTTATCTCCCAATGTTATGACAATATTCTTATAAGTTATATATATAAATCATTTGCTTAAAAAGAAACCAAAATAATAATAATAATACTTACAATAATAATGAATTCACACCTTTATAGGGAATATTTCAACAGCAGCTAGGCATAGGATGCTTTTGTTGTTAGAAAGTAAAATCCTCGTAGATTCCGGTAACCTCATTACTTGTCAACCCTCCGAAGTTCGTCAACGACTTGAAAGTGCTTTGGGGAAAGTTGATTATTGAACGAATGTATTTATAATTTATGAAGTGCTATTTTTCATTTGGTTAACTCTTTTATTTCTTTTAATCATACAAAAAAAAAAAACTATAAATAATTTGATGTTAGCTACATAAAAATAATAAACAAATAATGAGATGATTGATAAGAGAATTTAATTAGATTTTGGAAATGTTATTGATATAAAATGGCACATGTGATAGTAGCTCGTGAATAATAAAAGTGGACAACTCTACCTACGTATTTAAGATAAGAGTTATAAAAGTGACCCCTCTTCATTTATATGTAGAGACGTATCTAAGAGTCATGTGGCAACGACACGTTTATCAACGGTGTATTCAAGAGCTTTGACTTCTTCTGTCGGCAGGATAAGATAGAATTTTTACTATTTGGGAGGCTTCATCTGGTTTAGCTCTCTGTAATGATCTAAAGCTACAGAGATTAATTGGTAAAAAGGAAGTAGGTACAAAATTAGCTCAACAGACTCAATAGCTTGATATCTCCAATTTTTTGTGTTAGATTTATGTGTGACATTAGTTATTCAACACTATGTGAATACCTTCTTTTGATGATGAAGGTGGTGAGTGTGGCAATTAATATTAAATTTTGCCAAATTTTTTTCATAAATATCAAATAATAATATAAATAATATATTGAATTGAGTTACATTTATATATGACATTATGTAGCCGGCACTATGTGAATACCTTGTTTGAGGGTGAATGTGGTTACGAGAGAGTAAGCTATTTTGTGTAATTACGACATCCAAACACGGTCTCAATGGGAATTAAACAAATAAGGACGTGGCCAAATATATGCCAAGTAACATGCACCGCATGGGACAACAGGACAAAGTTACTTAAGAGGATTTGCGCCCCCCATGTGGTACCACCTCTAACTACAGTTCATTTCTTTTAGGATCTATTTCTTAGTTCAAGATCCCTCTTGCTAACGAGAATCAAAGAATTAGTAGATCTGTTCCGCCCAAACTGAAATGGGCTAGGGTTTTGAACCTAATAATCATAGAACCAACTCAATCAGCAGATTATAGATTAGAACTTCATCCCATACAACCCAGACTGGAATAGGGTTATATACATTCTCATTATAAGAAAGGGTCATACGGGCGTATCGAAATAGACACTATGTTTACATATGGAACCCTTCCATTTAGGATTAGGAATAGGAATAGTAATCAGAAATGGTTTTTACATCTCTCTCGTTATTCGGGACCCTATTTACCACTTTGGGCTTTTATATAACCACAACTCACCTTTTCACCTCCAAAACTGTTTCAATTTGAGTCCATATTATTCCATGAGTACCACAACTTAACTTCTTTCATCAATTCATTCACTAAATATTCTACATTTTCTTTAAAAAATATTCAACTGGTCTCAGAATAGAGTCGCTTTGTATCTTTTGTGACTAATTTCTAACCCAGTAAGGCCAGAGGTTTCATCAACTCATCATTTCACTACAAGGAATGAAGGAACACATCTAAAGCAACAGAAATCAACATAATTTAGATATATAACCTTATACAAAGTGCACAAATTCATGAGATGAAACAAAGAAATCCTTCAACAGTTGAAATAAGATACATACGACCATTTGTGAAATTCATTATAACTACCATATGTAAACAGAAAATGTAGAATCCTAACAGTTGCTTTCGAACACAGCATCTTGACACATCATGAAATTGTGGATTGGCCATGCAATTCAATCAAGGGTAAGAGTACGAATAACTAGTTTTAATAGTTAAAACAGTCATTGACAGGCAGAGCATGAGCGGAGCATTTTTAATTTTTATTCTCATAATTATATAACCAATAAATGTCAGCACATCGACAGAGCATAATGGAACTTGGCCGAAGATATCTAATTGTGAAGTTGATGGGCACAAGGACCTAATTCTTACTTTAGTTGATTAAAGAAAGACAAAATGAAGTGTTAATGCAGTCCTGAAAGGCAAAGATCAAAGACATCTAACCTTTCAATAACGGCACAATTCAGGAGATAACAGATTATTGAATTTCATTGTTCTCTTGGGACTGAATGATGCAATTATAGCTGTCTGATGCCCAACTTTCTTCTTCTTTTTAGCGTCCTTATAAGCAATATCTTATTATCAACAAAAGAAACTCGTATGCCAGCGAAATATTCAAGAGTGAGAACCTAAGCTTCTTCTATACAAACTAAAATATCCTAGAAATTCATTAAAAGAGTAAAGAATCGGGAACGTCCAAAAAAAAATTTGTTTGACCCAATGAGCAAACATCTGATCTTCAGAAGTGTGCCTACTAGATCTTCTAAACACACGGCATAAGAAATAAAGATGGTACTTGCCAAGTTTGCAAACCTCACAGTGAAGGAGATGGTTATCCCATTCCTCAGCCTTGTTCCAACGCAACACAAATTGGGAATCATTCCGCCTTGCCATCCAGGTCATCCCGACTAGAGCATCCTTCAAAGCAGTACTCCATACAATAAAGATATGATAGCATTGAGGACGGTAACCCGAGACTCTGATATAGAGTTACACAAGGTCCACTGATCTAAACTTCCCCCGCGGGGGGGTTCAATAGGTCTTGTAGAACTACTTAATTGTTTTTGGTTCAATAGGTCTTGTAGAACTACTTAATTGTTTTAACTAATTTTAAAATCAAAACAGATACAACTGAACTTCAATTGCAGTAAACTTCAACAAATAGCAGACACCAGATTTTTATGTGCAAAAGAAGAAAAAAATCACGCAAACCAAATCCACTGTCAAGAAAGAAGGTCTACAACCTCGGTTAACAGACTCTACCCCAAGAATCCCCTAGTTACCTCCTTGACACAGAGGACTTCAAACTTTTCCCCGAAAAGCCACCAGGCAGCTCTTTTGCTTGTCAATAGCATCCACTCCTCACGAATTTGTTTTTCAAGCAATTTAGTCTCAAATTTTGATCTACAAAATTTGCCAATATAAGTTCTGTTGCGTAAGAAGATACTTTACAAGGCACTTCAACCCTTAAATGATCTTTTATGGAAATTTGAAGCTCTCCCCAATCCCCACTCAACACCCTATAGATTGGTCTCAAACTAAAACAGGAACTTCTCCAATATAAGCACTCTCTTATCAATGCAATCTAAAAGAGGTGTATCATTGTATGTATATGTCAGCTATGCAGGATACTGGGAGGGAAAGAATACAGATACATAATTTGACATTATTTTGCACAAAGTGGCTTCTCTCAAACTTGAACTCGCAGCCACATGTTTGTTAGTTCAAGTTTTTTCCATTGCATTAAATAACGACTTCGGTAATCTAAAAGAGGTTTAGGAAGGTATTTTTGAAGTGAGACTTCCACACTGAATGTCATGCCACACTCTCGCTCCTGACCACGCCCCTATAAAGCTAATGTATCTGAAGCATTCCTCTAGCCTTTCCCAATCATCATCTAGAGGTCGACCCAATAAAAACAAGAAACCTCGATGGAAATCCCCCAAATGTTCCTTCCTCCACAAGATATTAAACCATTTTTTTTTTGGATAAGTAACACAAGATATTAAACCTAGAAAATCATTTTCTAAATGAAGCTTGATTAAATTGTTTGAATTTCTGTGCTCCAAAACCACCTGAATGCAATGGGGTGAACACAAAACCCCTAGCCACATAGTAATAAATTATTACCCCTTCCTCATTTGAATTCCTCCCCATTCAATCCCCTTCCATGTTGGTCATCACAAGAATATGAATTGTGGACTTATGTCCCAGCTTGTTCCTTGCTGAATTTGATTACTGCAAAAAGTCAGGATCAGTTATCCTAGTCGAAAATCCATGCAACACTGGTAGACATGGGTCGAACCTATAATGTTCTACTTTGCAATACTATGCAATGAGTGATCAATAGAGGGGATGAACCACAATGCAAATAGAATGATTAAACGAAAAAGAAAGCCAACTTGAGCCAGATGAAATCTTATATAAGTTTTTGATCAACAAAACTGAATGTACATGACTTAGCATACTTAAAGAAACGAAGTGAAGAGCAAGTGGAAACTTGCTGACTCATAAGATTCACCTTCAAGCTTCAACAACACCCTCTGACTGCTTGGCATCCGTGTTCGATTCAGTTGATGTGATTTCAGGTTGGATGTTCAACTTTGTTCCTTGTCTCAAAAATCTTTTGCTAGGTGCCACTCGAATCGATCTTTCCATGAACGTCTGCAATATAACAGCTTCTTGACTATAAAACTCATTAAATCCAACAAACATAATATGATTATGCCAATATAAAACAAGTCAAAATTAAACTAATATAAGCAGAATCAGTATAACCCAGTATTACCTTTCCCTGAAATGCTAAAAGGGCTGCCTCGGCCTCCTTCTTCGAATTGAAGGAAACAAATCCATACCCAGCCGAGCGTCTCGGATTATCATGAAATATAATTTCAGCAGAAACCACATTAGCATTTTCAGTATTGAAGAACTCCTTGAGGTCTTTAGCCCTTGCCTGAAAGGGCAAATTCGCCACAAACAAGTTGTGAACCGGCATCGCCTTGGGTTGCGAAGGAGGAGAAGGCTGCTTCTTTGGCCTTGCCCAATTGAGCTTCAAAACTCGACCTTCAAATTCCTATATAAAGCATACAATACACCAGCAATAAAAAAAATAAAAAATAAAATAAAAAATCATGCTCCATAAAATCGAAATACAAACACAAACCCATGAAGTAATTCATAACTAAAAAATGCTTACATACGATTCGAGATTGTTGAAAGCTGCGAGAGCTTCCTCAGGTGAACTCATGGACACGAACGCCAAACCCCTGTTTCTGGTTTTGTTATACATTGATATCTTAACGAGACAACAAAAATCAAAAGAGACCCAAATCAGAAAAAACACGAAAGAAAAAGCAAAGGCATGAATGAAATTAGCATTACCAACCTCTATATCTACGACGGTTCCGTATTTTTCAAACAGAGATCGAATGTCATCAGTAGTACAGGTCCACGGGACGTTTTGGGCAAGCAATCTGGTTCGAGAGAATTCATTTTCTTCTTCTTCTACTGTCTCCGAGTTTTCAAGTTCTGGGGTTTCAATGGTGGCTTGGGTTTGGGTAGGAGATGAGAAATTGAAGGGGACGATTCTGGGTCGTCTGGTTCTGATTGGGGGAAAATGGGAAAGAGATAGAGAGGATGGGTTAGAGAGAGAGAGAGAGAGAAGAGCAAAGATAGTGTTGTTGGAGTGAAGAGGTTTTTGCAGTAATGTTATTGGGGATGTTGAGGGAACGAACGACTGTTGGGTGGAGAAATGAGTGGTCGATGGGAAGTGTAGAAGACGAAGCAAAGCCATCTGAGACCAACCCAATTTGCAAAAACCAAAACCAATGCTTCGCTCACTTCTCAATTTTCGCTGTGTACGCTCTGTTTCAGAACAAGAGAGAGAGACTGGATAAGGAGATTAGACTTCGTTTGGAAACAGATTTACATGGGATTTGGACTTCTGTTTGGAAATGGAATTGGTATTTTGGGTTTTTGAGGACCATGTTCCCAATTCCCACATTTTAAAAATAGAAATAATGTGTTATCCTATTTATTTTAATTTATTTTATTTTTGCCTTTTAGAAACCCAAGAAATAAAAAAAATAAAAATATTACCAAATGACCCCTAACTATTTTGTTCTTATTAATTAAAATTTTAATTAACTTCGATTTTCTTCTAGTATTTTTCTCACATATGTCACTTGCTTGCAACGTACTCAAAGATTATTTTTATCAATTTCTTTCCTTTTATCTCCTCTAATCATCTTTCCAATGTGATCATTTTTATCAATTTCTTTCCTTTTATCTCCTCTAATCATCTTTCTAATGTGATCATTTTTAATTCTATCCATCAAATTTTTATGTATTTATTTCTATACTTGCATTTTTATCATACTAACTTTATGCAAATGTCATATTTTATTATGAAAACAGAAGAAGATAATTATGAAATTACAAATTTTAATAACCAAACAACGTTTGAAAAAAAAAGTAAAAGGGTGGAGGGTCAATATCACCCACCTCCCTTAAATTATTCTACCTTGTTTTCATAATTAAAGTGATTTCTAATTTCTTAATTATTATTATGAATAATTGAGCCTAATTTACAAATTTGATCAAATTCTACTCATTATTTTTATGGGATTTGAGGACACTATATATTTTTGAATTTCAAATTTTATGAAACCAATTCCATTTTAAATTCCAAATCCACCCAATTTGAGCAATCCAAACAGTCTTAAGATATTCCCCGGGCAAAGATATGCACGACGTCGTAATATGTACTTATATTTTTTGTTTTAATCTGATTGGCAGCTGGCCTTTGCTGGCATGCACCACAATGTACTAGATAATACATCTCATAATTAAATAATCCCGATCTCCATTTCTCTCTTGACCCTCGGTCGGCACAAAACCCCCCCCCTCTCTCTCTCTCCGGAGTGACGCGCGGCCTACATCTCCGATACAAGGCCTCTACCTCCGGCGGTTTCCATTTCCATCACTTGCCGGATTTCTCAGTCGCGCCGTGATCACTGCACTCGCAATTCTCTAATTGATTCATCTTCTGCTCTCCAGCATTTACTCATTCTCTCTCCACTGTCTTCTATAGAAACCCTAATTCAATCTCGTCGTGTGAATTGGAACATTGCCTCAATTCTGCGATCGGATCATTGAAATCGAAGCAGAAGGGGTGAATGCTAAACCAAGAATAACAGATTGAAGAGAAGATCTGAATTCGACACATTTATATACATACGCATTAGAGGTATTTAAATAATTTATAGAATTCATATAATTTTTGTCCATCATCATAATGTTTTTTCGGTTTATAGGAATTGAATCAGTTGTTCCGATCTGCGCTGTTTTTATGTTTTTTGAGATGATATTTGGTGGTGAATTGGTTGGATTATTCAACGTAATGATTGATTCGCTAAGTATTCAGCATTTGATGACCTGTTATGATGATTTGAGTCGTTTAGTGGGCTTAGTTTGTTACATGCTAACAATCATTAGGATCCAGGTGTAATTATCTAGGTTTTTGTTACACATTTTAACAATCAAAGTCAATACATTGTAATTTTTAAGTAGAATTGTGTCACATTTTGGAGCAAAATTGAGAATAAGGTTTTTTGGTATTTCATTGGCATCAAATGCAGCTTAGGACATTCATCTGCATTGTCAAAACTTAAATGATACAAGAATATCTCTACAGTTGTTGCTTGAAAGTTGAATCACAATTGGGTGATGGTGGAAAAATTATATTTTTTTTCGTTTGCATAAGAATAGCTCTTACCCAGTCAGTATAACACAAAATTAATTAGTGATACTCTACTCCTGTCTGCAACTCTGCACCTGGAAATTATTGACATCTGCGATCTTATCCATCCAAAGGGAAAAACAAGTCCAATCCAACTTTATTCAAGTCTTTAAATGAAAGTTTTAGAGCTTTATTATCTTTTTTTTTTCCTAAGAAAAATGTGTTTTGGACATTTTAGAAGCAACATTTGCAAATTTGAATCCCCAACAAACAGTTCCAATCTGCTTGAAAAAGTTTTGATGCATACCCTGATTCAGACACACATGGTGCACATCATTGATTTTTGAGCATGGATGAGGCCCCTATCCAGGAACTTATTGGTATCTATATATTGAGATTTCAAAATTACATATTCGTCTTGTTTCACTTCTTTTCTATAGGGATTTTCATGAATTTTAAAGTTCAAGGCCATTGACAAACATCTTATCCAGGAACTTATTGGTGCACATCATTGATTTTTTGAGCATGGATGAGGCCTCTATCCAGGAACTTATTGGTATCTATATATTCGGATTTCAAAATTACATATTCATCTTGTTTCACTCCTTTTCTATAGGGATTTCATGAATTTTAAAGTTCAAGGCCATTGACAAACATCTTATATTCCAAATTTTATAATTTTGATCTTATTTCTGCACAGCATGTGGCAGTTCTTGACAATAGTTACTACAAGAAGGTCAAATTGTGTTAATTTTTAATTGATAGTTACATATTTGGTGGTGATTACCTACTATTAACTCCTTCAATTCCTTTTCGTTCTCCTACGAGTTCATGCGATATTGATGCCCTTCATATGGGCCACTTTCGATGAAACTCGTTCTGGTTTATTAATTTCTATGTCAACTTGCAATTGACATAGTTGTTATTCTATAGTATATATTTGTATAATCTTTATTAGCATTTCAACTTTGCCTGCTGGATTCAAATTTCTTGACATTATTTAATCCTTGTTATACACAAAAATATAACTATATATATGGAACTGTTTATATTCATCACTAAATTCTGTTTCTGTCTCTCAGTTATATGTAAAGTTGCCTTAAAACTGAAATTCAGATGAATGTCCAATTAATTCATTTAAGTTATATTTCCTTCTCAGGTTGCAGCTTTTTAATGGCTAATGCATTTCATTCTCATCTTTTTGTAGCTGAGAGCTTGTGAAGCAGAGATGGTGAAGATGACAATGATTGCTCGTGTTACAGATGGACTTCCACTAGCAGAAGGACTGGATGATGGCCGTGATTTGCAAGATTCTGAATTCTATAAACAGCAAGTCAAGGCTTTGTTCAAAAATCTCTCAAGAGGCCAGAATGAGGCTTCAAGAATGTCAGTTGAAACTGGCCCTTACGTTTTCCAGTATCCTTTACATTTCACATTTTCCTTTTGTCACCTTCTCTTTTTCCACTTCATATGGGTATGGTTGACAGAAATTTTAGCTGCTACTTGGGAGCTGGCTTTTTGCTGTTTGCTACTGTTTTGGTAACAAGCTTGTCGGCAAAAGTTCTGTTAACAATTAACTGTCTTATAACGCATAATAGCAAGTTATTGCTCTAAATTTTATATCTTCATGTGCTGAGTTGTCATTTTGAGGTGGCATCTCTTTGATTGGAAGTTATTAAATTCATGGTAACATTTTTTATTTCATTTTATTTTTTTCCCCTCCAGGTAGAAGGTAACAAGCTTGTTATCCCATCGGTGTGCTTTATATTTTTATATTTTTTTTGTGGAAACTGCAAAGTAGTTCTTGTAACTTTAGAGACATGCATCCTGTTATAGTTTTTATACAACTTCTGTATATAATTCAGTAATGGACAATTATGAGATTGTGTTGAGATTTTTCTTTTTAATCAGGTCCTCGTTATCTATAATAGTTCTCTACTTCTCCTATACACTAAATACACAATTTAAAGTAACGGACTTGCAATTTCGGAAAAAATTGTGTGATAAGATGGACATTTGCTGTTATGATGGTTCTGGATCCATTTTAAGGATAATGGTTTCAGATCAACTACTGAGGGTTGAATTAGAGTACCATTTTCCAATAATGCTTTGTTTGATTCGAAGTATATAAGTATGAAAGGGAAGGTAGGAGGAAAGTGGAAAAGGAACACTTGGTGAAAGGATGATATATTTTCTGTCCTTTATTTTGGTTGATCTGAATGAAAGGAAGGAAAAAAAGATGTGTTGCACAGTTTTATTATTAAGCCCTTGCATTAAAAAGGATGCTAAAAATGTGCGGAAAAAGGGGGAGCGCTTTCCCTCGAACTTTCTTCCCACTTTTTTATAGAACTTGGTGGGCTTAGAGAGGAAGCCCCCTCTCCACTTTTCTTTTCCCTTCCTCTCACTAGACCATAGAATCTATCATCCACCCCTTCCCTTTTCTTTTAACTTCATATCATTTTTTTCTCCTACTAAACAGACCAAATTACTTAATACCAATGTTGTCCAGATGGCAGCTTTAGTTTGGGAACTTCTGCTTTCCTCTTGGCAGTATTCCCTGTTGAAGTTGCATATTTTGAGCAATATGAAGATGTTCAAAGTTAGGTTTGTCGTTCACAAATCACAAAGTATTTTGGCCATAAGAGTTTCTTCTGATCCTTTTATTTGATAGATTATATTTCTCTTGATACATGGTGATGAAATTTATTTTAGATGCATGCATGCATGCTGCGATGTGCAAACGTGCATGGCTGCAATGATGCCAGTGAGTTCATGCACACAGCATGTTTAATATACATTAATGCCTAATTCTATGGTCATAAAATGAACCTTGTTGCTTTCTGTATTACTTTGTGGCCTATCGTAGTTGAAGTTATATACATTCCCCATCCAATCTCACTGCCTTCAAAATTGCTGTTTATGCTATTACTATAATTCTTCTATTTAGGAATGAAAATTTATGGATTCAATGTTTTCTTAACCTAGCTTCTTAGTTATATTATTGAAGGACGTGTTTGTTATTTGACAATGTGTGATCGCTCTTATCCAAAGAAACTCGCTTTTCAATACCTGGAGGACCTAAAGAATGAATTTGAACGTGTTAATGGAAGTCAAATTGAAACTGCCGCTAGACCTTATGCTTTCATCAAATTTGGTAGATCTTACTTCTCCATCTTTTTCTGTACACGTCCTTGCTATTTTGTCAACAATCTATTTTTCCTACTTTTGATGTACTTCTTCTTCTTCTTCTTCTTCTTTTTTTTTTTTTTTCAAATGTTTAAAAGATACATTCATACAGAAAACAAAGAAACTCTACCAGGACACTCGAACTCAGCGGAATATTGCAAAGTTGAATGATGAACTTTATGAAGTACACCAAATAATGACTCGCAATGTACAGGAAGTTCTTGGTGTTGGTGAAAAGTTGGACCGTAAGTTATTCTTTATTCTTTTTAATTTTCTTGAGACCAGTTTGTTTTATAATTTTGAAAGTATTTTTAAGAGATAGAAATGCTGAATTCTTCAACTCTGAGCTTAAGATTGCCAAACTTGTTCGGCATGCTATTCTGGAAACTACTGTGAGGTTTGGTGGACAGAAAGATGTTTAATGTTACATATGTTAACGTGATACTGATTAAAAATTATATATTCTAAAGTTCAACATGCTGGATTTATCAATAAGTTTCATCTTTCATCTTAAAGATAACAACGGGTGTATCAGTATTGATCCTGCTAGTGGAGGGAGAGTAGTAAAAGACTAAATTTTGGCACTTCACAGACAACAAACATTCCATATAATATTCTGAATTTAAACCTTGTTGGCGATATTGGTGCACCACTGCTTTGCAGCCAAAGCTTACCGTTGGCTTTTTTTCTCTTCCCCTCCCAAGTCACAGCCTTAATGATTTTTTCTTAGCTAGATAAAATGTTCTTAGAATTTTAGGTCTCGGCTAAGAAGTAGAAAGTAGACAGCTGACTGCCAATTTACCACCTTATGGTTATTTGTTCTTTCTAGAGAATATAACCCTTTTATTTTCAATGGTTATTTATTTTTTATTTTAAATTTTGTAACACCGCCTCCCCCTACCCTAAGCATTGCATACCCAACAAAGAAACAAAAAGAAAGGAAAAAGGAATAATTATACAAATAATCTCCTCTACATCCACAGACATGAAGTTCTAGATGTGGCTGTGTTGGGGCATGAAACATCAGCTTTGACAAAGAGACCTTTGTCTAACCTTTTTTTATTTGAGTTTCTGATAAAAGAACTTGTTTTTATTAAAATAGGTGGTTAGAGACCTAAAAAATTGGAGTATAGAAGGCAGCTTATGCAAATGCTTTGACATCACATGAGCAATAAAGAAAATTGACAGAGTAAAAGAAGTATACATATCTAAAATCAATAAACATGGAACACTCAGAAACTAGACAACTAAGACTAACATTTCCCATATGAGGACAGAATTCTGAAGTTCTGTTAAAAATAATTGGTCAGAGCTGGCGCACTTTCCTTCATATGTTTGAAATATCTAGGAATTGGTTGCTTAACACTATTGTACTCCTTCTACTAGCAAAATATATAAGTTATGAATTATTCATTCTTGTATGGAGCTAAGAAAATAATGAGCAACATTAGGAGATTTTGGGAGAAATGGGTGCAAAAGACTATATGGGAAATGGAAATAGATCACACAATAGGGAAAACATCAATGGACTTGAAATTATAGATGAAATTTTATGTAAAAAATGAAGGTAGTAATTAATTTTAGTAAAGTTCCAGGTCTGCCAATACAGCCTAGAAATAATAGGTATTATATGTGGAAATAGCAAATACAGTGGTTTTGAGTTTTTTGAATATAAGCACGCAAATTGACTATAAGCATGCAAACAATGGAGAGATATCAACACTTGATAGTTTGTTGTAGCATGAACATATTGGAGTTGAATGTGACATTGGATAGCACACTATGCTTTCTAGGTGTGTAATGGCAAGTGAATGATATAGGTTGAAGGTAGTAATTAATTTTAGTAAAGGTCCAGGTTTGCCAATACAGCCTAGGAATAATAGGTACTATAAGTGGAAATAGCAAATACAGTGGTTTTGAGTCTTTTGAATATAAGCACGCAAATTGACTATAAGCATGCAAACAATGGAGAGATATCAACACTTGATAGTTTGTTGTATCATGAACATATTGGAGTTGAATGTGAAATTGAATAGCACACTATGCTTTCTAGGTGTGTAATGGCAAGTGAATGATATAGGTTGATTTTGGTTTCTAGATTTTGTGCCTTCAAATTGTATGATGTCAATAGAAATCAGATATGATTGCATGGTTTATGGCATTATTATACTCTACCATTACATTGAAAAACTAAATTAAATTTTTTTTTTTAATTACTGATAGAACAAATTATTGGTGTAATTTACACTTATCTTTTTTTTTCTTTTCAAAGTTGTACTTTACATGTATCTCTTATTAGTGTAATATATTCTTCATATTATCATTTGCCTTGGGGGTGGTTTTTACAAGTTTTATAAATAATGCATGAAAATGTATGAATAAAAACAAAATTAGGGGCCAATTAGATCTGATATAACCAAGAGTTACTAAAAACGTTTTGTCTATATATGGAAAACATAAGGGTCAAGAAAAAAATACAACATAAATATTTCAAACCGCGTGCGTCATTTAACTATTTAAGTCCAGGCCTCACCTTTGGTGAGCGTTGAACCGGAGACCTAAGGTGAGACATCCAAAGGCCTTACCAGTTGCTCTAGCCCTTGTGGGCTCAAACAATGTTGCATTTGTTAAATGTTACATTTTATTTATTCTATGAATCCATTTTTGATCCTATTATTTTTAAATATTCTCTATGATATTTAGACTGTTTTGAGGCTTATATATATATATATATATATATTCATTCCATCTTTGGTATGGATTGAGTCCTTTTAGTGCCTCTGCGGTGCTTAGACTTTGAGCCATGATTCCCATTGACATTGTGCTGATTTTTTCTTGATTATTGCTGAACAGTTAAAAAAAAAAAAAAAACACCATATAACTTATTGGGAAAATAGAAAAATGGCACGTGGTGAAGGCCTCCACCTGTTATATTTTTAATTAAATCTTCTACCATCTATTATATGAGTTTATATATGTCCCCTTCTTTGTGATGGACAGCACTTTTGTTCATTTCAATATTGATGCACTACCTTCTTATGTTATTCTAGTAATTTGCTGCATAGTTTTTGTAATTTCATATCGTTGAGATATTAATTCTTGCAGAGGTCAGTCAAATGTCTAGTCGCTTGACATCAGAATCTCGTGTATATGCGGATAAGGCAAAAGATTTAAATCGACAGGTTAGTTTAACCGGATCATTTTATAATGCACAATTTTCTTGCTGAAATTTTGAAGTTATTTATCTCCACTTTCTTGAGTGATCATACCCTGTATTTGTTGGTGGATTTGCTTGGTATGTGCACCTTTTTATGGTAATACTGCATGTGCTTTTGAATTTTCCCTATTTGGTTGATTATGCAAATATCCTCAAGAATAAGAACGTTACAAATAACATGACTAAAATAATCAATCAGTATTGTTAATTTATTTGAAGAAAGTAAATAATGTGGAGGATAATTTTTGGGTAAACCACATTAACATCCTTAAATTTGGCCTTAGTCACCAGGACCTACCTTAGTCTGAGCAATAATACAGACTTCTCCTATTTTTCATTATTTGTAACAAATTTTCCCTTCCATAACTCAGCTGGCAATGACCAAATAGAAATTGTAGATGTCATAATAACAAATTTCTAAATTGGTCAATGAGAGATTCTAAATTTAATGAAATGCACTAATGTGTTTTGCATTTTAATGTCATTTTAGTTTAGATCTATTCTTAAGTTCCATGCTGCACAGCTGACTGACACAAGTATCTTCTTCACTTACGAGCACCACCATCTTTTCCATCAACCACAATCCACTCCAAATGATAGACTTACATTGGTCTTAGTGGGAGAAAAGGCTGGATGGTGGTGGCAGGTGTTTGTTGTTGATGTATTGTGTGTTAGAGAGAGAACAGAAAGCGGAAAGTAAAAATAGGTAGAAGATGACCAACGTGTGGTATATTTTCGGTGGTTTTGGCTCAGGTAACCCAATTGAACAAAAAATGTCGACTAATCACGAACCCTTAGTGAACTGCTAGTTTTTGTTCTTTCTCAGTTATTGTATAATTTTGTTTCCTTCTCTCTATACTGAAGCATACAAACACTTTGCCTGTTAATTAATGAGTGTTCTGTTATCCCCATGGCATCTATGGAACCACTTGATCTGGTAGCATGCCAGTGATCCTTTTCATGAACCCCATGATCTCCATTTTTACATGCTTGGATTATTCACTATTACCGAGCTTTATCTACCCACCTGAGCTCATTTTCACCCAATTCTCAGATAACGGCTGCAACATTGCTACTATCACGTATACGAGCCGCCTTTGATTTTAGAAGCATGAAGATACGTAATTGAGATGGATTGATAGGAATAGTGGGTTAGATAGTGGTGGGGTACCTTAAGAGAAGAGAAAGGTTATGGGTGGTGATTGGTGGTGGTTGGAGTAATGTTTGTGAATAGTGGTGGTTGGGCAGAGAGGATGGCGGGGATGGTAGGTGAGGAGGTTCAATCATGTGATCAAGAAATAGCGGGCTCAATGGATGGGTGGCATAGGGGTTCTGAGTGGCCACTGCTAGTGGTGGTGGCTTTTTAGGATGGTGGAGATGATGGTACAGCAGTGATAGTGGGTGATGAGATGGTGATTGGTGGTGTTGGGAAATAGGGGTGCTGGGAGGCTCGAGTGACAGCAGTTAAGCTTAGTCACTTGATTCCTGTTGCTGGGAGAAATATCCTGGAATACAGTAAAAGATTCAGTGGAATTGTGGGGATACAGTAGTTGGTAATCTAAACCTTTCCTCTTTACAATCCCAGGAATGTTGCATTAATGATGGAACCTGCTCTAACAATATCTTGAACTGGTATGCATGCCAGTGGTCCTTCTCGTCAACCCCATGATCTCCATTTTTTGATGCTTGGACTAATCACAATCAACTAGCTTCCATCTACCACCTGAGCTCTTTTTACCCAGTTCTAAAAACATCTTGATGGCACCTTATCAGCCTTTAGTCTTGAGGGCTTCAGCAAGAAAAAAGCGTCAATTGAAAGAGTTCATGGACTTCATGCATTGGTTTCCATGTAATATTCATTGAGCTGACCTAACATTTGGAATCTTGCAGTTGCATCTCATATCATGGCAATGTTTACCCGAGGCTTCGAATTGTTGAATGGATGCCTGCCTAGCTACATGGTTATATTCATTGCTGGATTTTTTTTTGACAAAAGTTATAGGTCATTAAAGCATGCATGGTTACTGTGTTTCATTGATCTTTCATGAGTGTGTGTGATAAATTGGAGATGACGTTAATCATAGAATTATAGCAGGATGAGTTAAATTGATGAGTTCTTATGGCATATTTTGTGATTGACTATAACCGTTGAAATTTAATGGTAAATCTATACTACTATAAATATGCCAATATAATTTTAATTTTGATTTTATAAACATTTTTTTGACTATTTCTATATTAATTTATATCATCATACTTGGTGAGAAACTATAGTTTTTTTTCTTTCTTTTTCTTCTTCTTAACTGAGTTTTTTTATATTTGTGACAAATTCAAAGTCCAGTAAAGTTAGATTATATATAATATACCATATTAATTTATATATCAATATTATAGTACTTAATTGAGAATTACATATGGAATCCAGCTCTAATAATATATCACACTAGTTTTTGTTCAATATTATCAATACTCAATTGAGAATTATTGTTGGAATCCAACTCTATTGGTATCATCTATAATCAATTCTCCTATGTCACTTATTTGAGGATTGGCAAGTCTATTGTCGTTTATTATTGATATCATTTTTAATCAATGCTCCTATGTCAATTAGCTGAGAATTGGAAAGTCTATTGCAGTGTAGTAATAGTGACCAAGGTAAAAACATGAGAAAGACAGGTTTCGTTTGCATCTATCGGGTCTTGGACTAAAAATGCTATGCGATGAACCCTGACTAAGCAGATTTGGAATGCTTTTCCGTAATTCGAGTGCTACGAATGTAATGTGAACACCAATTACAAAGGACTTGGCTCTATTTTTGGGTATCCCACTTTTGTATCGATTCCATTACAGAACATGGATTTGTGGCTTATTCTAATGTTAAGAATGAAATTGAATGAACCTATTTCCATGGGCATCAATATTTACCTGAAATTTTAATCAAGTTATTCTAGAATTACATTGTTAGTTAATATTAAAAGTGCCTGTAATGTGCGTGTGTTGTGTGTGGATCTAAAATAATCTTATCAGGATCTTGAATCTTGTCTGCAGGCTTTGATTCGGAAATGGGCTCCTGTTGCCATTGTGTTAGGAATTGTCATCCTTCTCTTTTGGGTCAAAAAGAAGATTTGGTGAACCGGTGATATTACCATCCATTTGCGATTCCAAGGCATTACTGCTTCAATTTCTCCATTTGCTCCAGGCTGCTTTTGTTAATCGTCCAGACACCAGAGAACTTATATTGGTGCCTGATCCACATGAACAGTTCGATCATCTTTCAATGTGACGGCAGTTTTTGTTTATGTCATAGTTCAGTTATACCTTCTGAGGGCTGGCTTTCTGGGCAGCTTGGGGATGGGGATTAATCCGGCCATGTGGAAATTTGAAAGAAAGATCCCTATAGTAAAGACTAAGGAGACCGCCTAAACATAGTTAATTTTTCTTGGAAAGGTTATTCTCTCCCGGGGCTTTATACAGGAGTTTATTAATTTAGGTATTAAGTATTTGTGAACCTTGTTGGTTTTATATAACATGCTTCCAAATATATTACTTACTGCATGGCAAATGCTCACAGATTTTCAGTGCCTTCTCATGACTTAAGTAAATGGGAAAAAAAAAAAAATTAGTAATGTGGTGGTTGTGCTTATTACTGGAAGTCAATGAAGATTGATCTTATACTGTAAGTCAGTTTATGTCATTTACTGAATGAATGACTGCTACTTACAGTTGCAGTAATCTGATACAGTAACTTCTGTGTGTTATTTTGCTTCCGACCATTTTCATAATATTTTCAAATTCCTATATTGCACACACAGTACACCAGCAAAGCATCAGGCCCTCTAATAAATTCAAGAAGTGATATGCTACAAACGATTCGAGATTGTTGAAAGCTGCGAGAGCTTCCTCAGGTCAACCCATCGAAACGAATGCCAAATCTCTCGTTCTGGCCAAGAGGCTTCATCTTCTATTGTCGTCGATGGAGCGGAGCGTTCAACGATGCTGGGTTGTGAAGTTCTGATTGAAAAAAAATGGAAAGACCTACCAAGGGGTAGAGAGAGAAATAGAGAGGATCAGATATAAATGTCGTTGGAATGTAGAGGTTTTGAGTACCGTGGGTAGAGAAATGAGCAGTCGATGGGGATTCTAGAAGACAAATCAAACCGTCGGAGACCCAAACCAAAACCAATTCTGAGTTTGGGTTGAAGAGTCTCCCGTTTTCCTAGTTCTGCGTCCAGTGCCAGTACTCTCTCCTAGTTGGTGAGGATAATTTGTGATGCACATTAGGAAAATGTTGTGAACGTTCCAATATTTTCGTAACACATATCCCAAATTATTCTCATCGGCTGGGACAGAAGTACTGTTGCACCAAAGAGAATTTTGATCCGTACGTCGCATATACAATTACAGAGAGAATTTTGATCCGTACGTCGCATATACAATTATTTCACCATAGCTTATGCAATAATTTTCCGTCTCATATGCAACAACTGCATTATGTATCCACTAGTAATTTACATACAACACAAGAAAGACAACAACAAAATGGAATATGTACCTTCAAAACTACTCTCAGCAAAATGGGATCCTTTCGTTTTCACCTGTACTGGAAGCATCATATTGCACATCCAAGACAACAGAAGATTGGTAGCTATACATACTGTCATAGACTCACATTGCATTTTGTAGGGAAAAGGAAAAGGAGGGAACAGAGTGCCCAAATGTTACTGATACAATAGATTGGTAGACTTTCATTCCACAAAGACTCAAAACTAGTTTATAGAAAGTAGCTTTAATCAACACCATCATGGATATGCCATCAACATTTCAGATGACAAACTTAGCAACACTTGCAGATGACAAATTATGTATTTTCAAGAAGAAAAAAATGTAACCATACAAGTTACCAAGTAACGGTAACACACCATCATGGATACTAGTACCAAAGTTAGAAGATGAAAAATGAATCAGATCGATCACAAAATTCACGTTACTTCTTATAAAATCTAGACTCGGGGGAATTATGTTGCAAGGGTGACAGAGGAGGTCTTGGCGAATCCACGTCACTGAAATCAATTTTCCTCTCAACTGGGCTGCTACTCATCTGGGCACTACATTTTCGCTTGCTGCCCTGCATGACGATGTTAAATCACAGAAATATCAATTGGTTAGCATGCTAAACGAATATCGAACTTATGGACACATGCAAGCAAATGCATAAAACCGATAAAAATGAGTTGTTCTTCACTCGTTTCTTACCTTGGCAGAAGTGCTGCTGGTATGCTTTCCACCTGAACCAGAGTGCTGTCTTTCTTTGTGCAACTGTCTCCTCAACCTTTTATTCTCCTCATTCATTAGGTTATTTTCTTCAAACAACAATTTGACCTAAGCAAATATAAAACATTGGTTATTAACAGAATAACATGAAATCACACGTCTCACTAATATTCTCACCTCCTCTTCGGCTCTATGAAGGTTAATCCTTAAATGCTCCTTATCCTTCTGAAGCATCTTGAACTCAGCAGCTACTGCCAGAACTTTCTGGGATGATGGCCTCAAGCTACCACACAATAGAAGGGATTTTCAGTGAGAGATTTGGAGCAAATTGCAACAAGGATATCAAACTCTAAAGATACAGATGTTGAATGGTTGGTTTTCAAAAATTATGATTTGTCGAAAATAGCTCAAAAAGAGGAATCCAACTCTGTATCATCCTCAGCTCAAAACCTAATTAGGGCACTCGGTAATGCTGTATATATGTTTAATGTTTTGTAAGTGAATGAAACATGATCACACTTAACTATCCAAATAGAACTAAAACAACAAAAATTACTCACTTATTCCACATCTTCAACAACTTTTGACAAACTTCTACTCCGCTATTTGCCTCTAAAAAAGCATGCGCAGTTGGTTCAACATCATCTTTGCCGACCAAAGTTGCCACTAACGACTGAAGTAAAATCTGTTCCTCAGATGTGCCCTCCATAGGCGTATCAACCTTTAAGCAAACGAAGTCATATAATTCTCAGCCTCCTCACAGTATTTAAACATGACATTGTTTTTTGCACAGAATATTGGAAAAAGAAAAAGAAAAAGAAAAAGAAAAAGAAAAAGAAACTGGAAGTATAAAATGAATATGTACCCACCACCCAGTTTATCTTAAAAATGAAGCTCATCAATCACAAACACCAAATTAATTATAATTCAGTTACCTCGTTTGCACTCACATATTAATAAATCAAACTTTATTTTGCACAAGCCAGAATCAATTCATCAACAAAAGATTGAGAAAGGGACATGGAAACAAGTTACAGATAAAAGTTGGAGATTTCGACACATATTGAAATATGTATGAATAAACCTACTCATTAAGTGTCAAGCTCATCAATCATAAAGCCCTGAAAATTTATGATTTTAATATCCTCAACAAACTGTATTTGAATTAGATCACCTCCTTAAGAATCAAGTTCATTTATGATGAATATCTTAATAATGGATTATACAATGACGAAACCCAGATTTCAACAGAATGCCTTTGCTCAACACAGGAAATTGTAGTTTTGTCTTCAGGACATGAAAGGGACTAGTACAATAATTCACTTGGTTTTATTCATTTACACATCATTTTTAATACAAATTCCAGAGCAAAGAAAGAATTCACAGATTAACTACAGGAATATCATCCATCATTTAAGTTTACAGTTGCCATGACAAACACTGGTTTAAGAGAACTACAAGATATTCCACATGTTATTTGGTACCAACACCAAACCTCAAAAAGTAAGGACTGAAAATTTCGAGTTCATATAAAACTTTCTCAAACCCACAAAGACTTACTTTGACAAGTTCATTCTTTTAGGGGATGCAATTGAGTTTTGTAGAGAAGCCCATAAGAAGGGTACTGTAGTAAAGTGATTAGAGTTTAATGTATTAGATCTTTTACAATAAACACGAATTATGCGACATCTAAAAAACTGGAGGACAACCTTTTGCAGAAAAAAGGAAGTCTATATGACAAAATTCATCCACCATGTTATATTATCCACTGGAAGACTATATTCATGCAAACTAGCTTTCTGATCGATTCCACAAACAAAAAAAATTAATCCTGAATACTTGGGGTAAAAAATCCATATTCATCATTAGTCCCTATTTAAATTCTTTCTAATCATAATTGCAATATTAATTAAAACGTGAACTATGCCTATTCAGTTTGCTGTGCTTGGATATCAAAATTATGCTACTCATTGAAATATTATTTTTTAACATAACATGATTAAAGCAATATAAGACAGATACTTTCAGTTCATTACGTATTTCACAGTAAGAACGAACGATACCCCTAGCCCCTCTTTTAGACCCCGGTTCCTTTAATGTTTAAGGGATGCGTTCCCCTTCTGAACGCCTTTTTAATTTATTATTACTTATCAAAAAAAAAAAAAAAAAAGGATGCCATGCCCACTGTATTTACAACTACTTTGATAGTGCCAGACAAATGCATCTTATTGTGGTCTTAAACAATTCCTCTATATTTACTTATCTGAATAAGGTGTCTAAGAGTAACGATCCCTCTAAGTAAGAATATATTAACTATATTTCATGGTTATAAGCTTAGCCTGGTTATTAATACTAATAGACACTCATAGTTGTGTTAATATAATTGGCCGACTATCTTTTCTATATTTTTTTACTTTTTCTTTTTTCAACTATCAGCAGTTTCTGACAAGGATTCAATCTATCATGTTTATTTGTTATTACAAACATTTTAAAGCACACAATTTTATTTCTTACGATAGAACTGGTGTATGATATTACGGTTTCCTTTTGAACTCACCAAATAGGTTTTATCTTATCTTTCTTCTTCTTCTTTTTTTTTGGTAAATGAATTTAGTTTATCTTTGTTGGGGAATGTTCTTATTATCTGTGAGTTCCATTCCCAGTATTATTTTAAATATTTAGCCACCATATCTATTCATATTGACTCATTTTCAACATACATATCCAAATTGATACAAATTTTTGTGCACATGGCAAAAATCACAGAATACAAGTCAATTACACATTAAGATCCTACAACAAAAACAATGTTTCCATCTTGGCAGTGGTGCAAGATAAATTACATTATATAGAAGAATCTAATATTAAGCACACATAATTGCAGATGCCTTGTACCAGTACCTATTTCATGGTGCCTCAAAAGAACAGCACAATTTGGTTACTTTTGTAAAGGTCACGTTTATCATGATTTCTGCTTCCTCCTTTCTTGTGAAACATTCTATTGTAATAGTTTCTTTAGTTTTAGTACTTTCACTACCAAAAAACAGCTTATAATTGAGGGTGCTCCCTTTAAATTTTTTTTTTTTTGAAATTTAGAATCCCATTGTTAAGTTAAACGAATAATTTAGAAACAACGTTCATTACCTAGTATGGTCACTGTTAATCAAGGGTGCTCCCCATTAATCGAGGGTATTGGGAAGGGTGGGCTGGATACACACGTAACCTTTGGCATTATTTGCACAGAGTCTAATTTGGTAACAAATGAAACTTTAATGTATAGGTAGAATGATATCAATATTGTCAGTTTTTTATATGGCAAGAAAACAGGATCTTCCAAGGTTGTTCACATAAAATTTTACTTCATCCATCATTTAAACGATGCTGAGCACACTCATTTCTTTTGATTTATCAATATAACTTATCTTCTTCAAACACAATCATTTAGCTTCATTTGCACAACGTGGTTCTTCTCAAACTTAGCTCAGGCTTTTACCATTATTCCAAGCAATAGGTTCCTTATGGACCAGCATGAATTAGATAAAAGAGTGTAACTAGTGACTTTTATCTTTGTTAACAGAACTTTAACAAGGCAAAAAAATATAGAATGAGGATGATTAAAGAATCTTTGTACGTATTAACATCCTCCAAAAACAAAAGATAAACACATGATGTCATAGCAAATATGCGTTGAGAATTTTAGTTAAACTATTAGATATTTCCAGTTAGAACTCAGTAACCCAAAATGGTCTTCTTGGTTCTTATGTGTTTTCACGCCCCTCTGAGAGCCGAAAAATGGATAAATTCCTTTTCTTAGGAACATATACAAGATTCGTCACGGAAGTGTGAAAGTGGTGATATTTCTCTGGAACAATCTTCACACATTGCTTAGTCCACGGGGGTAAAGTGAATAGGTTTTTAACCCAATTCTCTCATATCCAAGGGATTAAAACAACTATTTTAGCATGTAATAGACTGGAATATTTATGCTAATCAGTTACCAAGAAATGCTTTTTTACCTGAGAGCAGCAAATAATAAGCACATACAAAATTGAGGGAAAAGAACTAAAATAATTTACCGCTTGCATCTGGCATTGATGCTTGTAGAACTGCACTTCTTCTGATAACCTTCTCAACTCCTCTTCCAACTCACGAACACGAATCTCTGCTTCCTTCGCACGCTCATCGGCTTCATTCCCAAAATCCATCAACGCCTCTCGATCATGATCGTACAACGAACACTCCTTCTCCCATCTCTTACACTGACTCAAAAGATTAGCACACTCCACTGCCAATTTCTGATTCTCTTCAACAAACTTCTTCAAAGCCTGTGCATTCATACTTGACTCGGCCTATAATAACAAACACACCACCAAATACGAACAACAACAAACCCAAAAAAAACCCTAATAACATCAGAGATCCAAATGAACATGTAATTAATTTAGTAATTAAAAGAAAATATACAAACCCTAGCACGCTCGATGATTTCGTCTTTCTCATTCAATCTCGCCTGCAAGTACAAGTACTGATCGCGAAGACGCTGTTGGGCTTCTTCAAACGCTTGAAGCTTCAACTCGAGCGTGCTTGTAGATACGGAGAGACCAAGGGAGTTCTCAATCGATTCTCTGATGTAATCGTCGATTTCTTGTGAAATATCCATTCTTGATCTTCGAAACCCTAAATTGACTCCGATTCTCTGTTTCTTTGAAAGATCTGAAACACCTGGGAAACAAACCCTATATCTCTACGTGATGATTATTGCAATTTCAATTGTCCTTATAGCTTTGCAAATTGTAAAACTGTAGAGTATGGATTGCACAGAGAGAGAGAGAGAGAGAGAGAGAGAGAGAGAGAGAGAGAGAGAGGTTTGGTCTGAAGAGGGCAAAATGAGGGTTTTGGTCCGAAATTTGAGTTTTCGAATTGAGAGGGCTAGCCGTTAGAGTGCATTTGCTTTTTAAAATGGATGGGGTGGATCTAATTTTGCGTATACGTGGCAACATCATAGTGTTGATGGTTCTTGAGAACACAAGGGTTGGTTCGCATATAATAAATTCAAGATTTATTTATTTATTATAATTATTGTATTATTTACCATGAATAAATTCAAGATCTGGCGTCCATGGTTCAAAAAAAAAAAAAAAAAAAAAAAAAAAAAAAAAAACAAGAAAAACAAAACCATCCTCAGTGTAAAATCTAAGCCACACGAAGTGGGAACGAAAGTATGAATAAAAGCGAGAGTGAGAGCGGAAAGGAGGATAATATATTATTAGATGGACCAATCATTGACACTTGGTGAGTCAGTTAAATCCAAACTGTCGGAGTAGAGAAATTATTAAATGATTTTGGTCTATTTGACACTTAGTGTACTAATTCAATGAAAGGTAATGTGGAGATTTCTTTGTAATGTGGGGCCGTTTTTTCAATCCGAGAGTCTGAATTGGTTCATCAAGTATCAATAGTTCAGGATCATATAATAATTTCTCACTCTAAAGGTACCAACATGCCAGTAACCTAACGGTATCAGGCCTTGCTTCCCAAAGAGAGATTAGGGTTCGAGCCCATGGAACTCTATCACGACATATAAATGAAGTAGGCCACATGTTCATTCCATGGAAAATTCGTATGTGGATTGCCATTGAAATTATCGTAGCACTTTCGTATTTGCACTCTGAAACTATCATTCCAATTATTCATTGAGATGTTAAGCCTACTAACATACTCTTAAATGATAATTTTATTGCAAAGGTTTCTAACTTAAGCTTCGAGATTAGTTCCAATGGATAAAACATGGTTAACTACAATGGTTTAGGGAACATTTGGCTACTTCGACCCCGAATATTTTCATACAAGTCAATTGTCTGAAAAAAGTGATGTTTATAGCTTCAGAGTAGTCCTTATGGAGCTACTTACTTTCTTTTGACAAACTAGAGAAAGAGAGACACTTAGTCACATATTTCATCGAGAGACACTTAGTCACATATTTCATCTCACCGATGAAAGAGAATCGCTTGTCCTTATTTCTAGATGATCAAATTGTGAACGAGGATAATGTTGAACACGTACGTGAAGTTGCTAAACTCGCGCAGAGTTGCTTAAGATTGAAAGGGAACAAAAGGCCTACAATAAGGGAAGAGGCAATGGAGATCGAGGGACTTGTCAGAAGGGAAAAGCAGGTCCTGGAAAGAATCAAGAGGAAACCGAGCATCTTCTAGGTAAACCATTGTACTACAATAGCACGGGCACTATAGTTGGGTATAATAGTTTGAGGAACCAAGCAGTACCGATGTCATTAGAGGTTGATGGAGGACGTTGAGTGTCATGCAAACTTTCAGTATGTTTGATTGAGATATAGACATAATCTGTAAGCAAAAATGATCTTTTGCGTACTGGTGAGTAAGAAATTTATCTACACCAGTATAATCACCGTTAGATGTGATTGCTATGTTTTTTAGTAATTGTCTTGATTATGCTCGTTGTGGAGAAAGTTTCTTACTCACCGATAGCAAACCATCATTTCTCAATCTGCATGTAAGTCTTGTAACAAGCTAGCAAAGTGAAAAGTAGTGAGTTCTTGTAATACCCCTAATTTTAAAAGGATAGTCCTGGCATTTATTTAATTGTTTAATCCTTTATTTAATTATTTAATTGCGTTTTATTTTATTTAATTGGTTATTTTAATTGTGTGTTTATTTCATGGTTATTTAAATTTGATTTTGTTTTACTTAATTAATTAATTACTTAATTCTTTTATTTTAATTAATGGATTATATTAGTTACCTATTTGTGATTAATTATTTCAATTTTCGTGGGTTATTTTAATTAGATTAGGTTAAAGGTTTTATTTATTACATTAGGTTTTATTTAGTACATTAGGTTGTAGTGTTAACTGTATAATAGAGTTCGTGTGTAACCGACACTGTTTTAAGACGTAGGTTTTGTTATGGGCCAACAAGGATTAGGATTAGGGCTCTGTCTCTACACCTACAGGGAATAGGGATTTATTTTACGTCTCTATATATATATAGAATAGTGTGTGGATTTAGGGTTTTGGGAATACAAGAGCTCTGTTTACGTCTCAAGTTTACGGAGTGAAAACAGAAAGGGGTTTTGTAAGAACAAAGTATTGTAGGGTATGTCAAGGGAGGAATAGAGAGGACCAAGGAGGTGTGGTGGTGCACTAACTAGAAGCAGAGGAGGCTTAACAGTGGTTTGAATTGCCGGAACAAGCAAAGTTTGAACATGCAAGTTCTTTTCTTTCTTTTTCACTTTGCCTGTGTTCTGTGCACCTAGATAGCCTCTAGGATTTAATTAAGTATTAACAGAGTTTCTTAAGTATAAATGATGTTATATCGATGTTCTGTATGTGTGAAAATTCATTCAATTACAGTTTATGCGTATTTGTTAGCAGTATGTTTCTTAAAGCATGAAAAGTATGTAGAACTTGTAGCCTCTGTATTTGTTTTCAACTGCTATAAACACATCTTGGGAATTATATTGGACACAGATAGGACTCTTAGGGTCAGTTTAAACCCAACTATACAGGTTGTGAATGGCCGGAAATACTGCAGAAAGTCGTAGGAGCAACAGAGGTTGAAGGAGGCTCGAGGATGAGAAGAGAGCCGACTCTGGAACGCAAAGAGCCGGCTCCCCCATTAAAGAGCCGGCTCTAGGAGAGGTAGAGCCGGCTCTAACCTCCTAGGAGGGGGCTCCAAGTGTTCTTAAAGCCTGCTCCAAAATCTAGAGAAGGCTTTTTCTCACATATAGTCTCTGAACTTTGTTTTTACGATTAATTTTGAGACTGTAGGAGTTGGGGACTATTTGGATTGAGTTTGGGACTTCACTGTATGACTAAAAAGTTAATCCTTGGTATTATTAAGACCTTTAAAGGACTAAAAGCTTACGTTTAGTCAATGGGATAAATGGTATAAAATTACTAATTTTCTATATAGTTAACGGAGGAAAGATGGATTAATTGCCTAACTAAATTTTAGCAATGTAATGGGATGTAGGATGTTTATAAAAACCTACTTTGAATGCATGATAGGGTCCTCTATATATTTATTTTGATCTATACATGCTTTGGGATCTAAATTGTTAAAACAGTAAACTTTTCTACTATTACATAGATTACTGTTGATTTTCAATTGCTAGTATAACGAAACCATTTATGAAATTATTTGGATACTAGTTGGGACTGTAAATTACTCAGTTATGATTTATATGTTGTAATTTACATGGATATGGAGGATTGTATGCACCGGTATGGGACGCTGGCATACTGGGGACGATTTAGCTCAAAACGCTAAGACCTAACCTACCGGATGGAAAGTATGGATTGTAAAATATTGAATTCATTAATGTGTTTTAGTTGAATTAACTGACTAGGTTGAATGACTCCCTGGATTAATTGGTTGTGGTTAAGACACATCAACTGAATAAGTTGAGTGCTTATCTGGACGGTATTTTGTATGTCTCTTCATTGAATAAGTGAATGACATACTATGGTTTTGGACAGACTTTAGATATATGATTATGGTACCACGATATGAGCTTGAGTCTCAGAGTCGTTGGTTAGGGTGCGTATATGCAGTGGATGCGTAGCTGAATATAGTAGGTAAGTGTACCCTGTTAGGTTTAGGTACTCATGCCCACCTTTGGGTGCATTTTCACATGTTGCCTTCTATTCAGGTTAAGACCTCTACTATAGTCCAGTGAATGTCCTTAGTGTGGATATATATGTATATTTATGGATTACCTAGTTATATTGAGGGTATCTAGGGTATATCTGCGTATCGGGTACTGTATAGATTATAGTTGGATTAGGACTTGTATGTGGGCCTGACCCATTCTTTTATTTTTCAAGTGTTCGTCAGTTCCAGGGTTAGAGCTTGGTCGTACAGAGCGGATACGGACTTCCATTCCACCGACTACGTAGGATTCTCTCTATAGCTTATTTTTTTTTAGATGTTTCTTTCAGTTGTTTTTATTTTCAGTTTGGGATTATTGTTAAGGGTCCACTAGAGATGGATTCCCGAGTTGTAATCATGGAGGTTTTGACAGTTGGATTTTACTAAGTTTTATCAGTTGAGGATTTTATACTAGTATTCTTTTCAGCTTTTGTCATTTATTCTTATTTCTTCTTGTATTCTGTATTCGTTACAAAATATTAATTGTTTGGTATTCCCTCGGGTTTAGGCCTGGGCCTGATCAACCCGTGTCTCGGATCCGAGGGGTATCACAGTTCTGCAGGGAGGACATCGTGCTATAGTATTGTATTACCATTGTTATTTCACTTTCCTGGAAATTTTATCATGTTTTGTTATATTATTGCTAATAAATGTGATCTTTCTGGTTTATTCATCAATGTTTATAAACAAAAAATAATATTTAGAAAATTGTTAGTTTATCTAAATTCTTGAGCAATGCTTTCAATAAACTAGAAAATCCATTATTTGTTTTTGAATAATCTTACTATAATAAGCAGGTAATGTATAATTAAAATTGACATACTACCACAACCTTGCTCTTCGATATGGTGTTTGAAGCAGAAGGCTTTTGAGGAAAATTGAAAGCCTTTTCCAATTCTGTGTGACTGTGTGTGTGTATTTTTTCAGTAAATTGTACTGACACTCCTTAAAGTTTTGGTCAATGTCACTTAGCGAACGGTCGATGGCTTTTGTTATATTGACATCCCCTGAGGTTTTAAAAATGTGCATTGACACCCCTCCAGACATCTAAATACATATACAATTACCTTTTAACCCTTTGTCAACAACTCCATTTAAATCATGAAATTACAAATTTAACCTCCTAACTAAATTTAATGGACCAAACTAACATCTTCATCTCTTCTATACATATAGATATATTTTATATATCATAATACGTTTGCCACCATAACCATCACCAC